CAGATTCCCTTTAAAATCTATAAAATCTACAAAAACTTCACACATGACCTCCTCAGAATCAGCTGATAATTGTTAATACATGCCAGCGTTACAGGCTCTTCAAGCAGGAGGTGTCAAAATCTAAATCCTAATGTTGTTCATGTTCCGCATGATTTTTTCTACAACCAACTTTTCTTTTTCAGATTTTTGATATTTTCACACAGAAGGAATCTCGGTTAGAAGATGAGTCTGGTATCAAAATGCAGGTAAAAATGAGAACCTTCAGTCGCAATAACTTGTTTTGATAAACCGCCTATCCTACATGGTGATATGAGCCTTGAAAGTTTAACCAAGATGCAGTTTTCTCCAGTGAATTACCAGGAAACAGATCACACATCCAGGGTACCAGTGACTGCTTCTAGCACTCTGTGTCATAGACATTAAATAGTTTTGGTATTAAAACTATGATCTATATCTCAGGATGCTGCTGCTTGAAATTGGTGTAAAAAGTCCTGCTGAACAAAAATTAGATTTAGATTGTAATACCTGGTGTGGATTCAAAATTGATGTGGCTGCAGGTTTTCACCAGAGCTCAGATTTCTGTTTTAGCTCTAAAAAGTCCACGTGGCTCATGAAGTTGTGAGGTTAGAACAAAAAATCATTGATAATTACAAATCAAGAAATCTAACCCTACTCTAATGTACCTGAAGTGCCTGTAGCTTTAAAATAAAATATCCAGAGGGCAGAGGTTCAAATCTTGGATGACATCCTTACATATAGTTGAGGTGGGAGGTCCTGATTGGTTTTTCTTTATCAAATTAAACTTTAAAACAAACCAAAGTTTTTAAAGAAACTGATCTCTGTGTAAGATGTGAGTCAGAAATCAGAATTTAAAAACGTGTGTTTCATGTCTGTGTGTTCAGATTCAACTCAGTGTGACTCAGAATGAACTTGCATTTATTAGAGCACCTGTCTAATTTGTTAAGTCCTGCGTACATACACGTAGACTATCCAGCATGATGAAGGGTTTTAACGCCACTCAGCTCTCCACACTTCACCGTTCTGAACAGGAATGAGGAATTTAAACTGAATCCACCTTTTTATAGCCAAACCTGAGAAACTAATCAAGCATCACATTCAACCACTAAAACTAATGTTTCTGTTCAGGAATGCAGGTAAATAACTAGAATCTGATATTTTAATCAAGAAATAATAATGTGCTTCATTCTTTTTTCTTTTTTTTTTGTAAAAGAGTAAATTAGAAAATTCACAGAAAACAATAATAATTATATTTTAGCATTAAAAACATCTTTCTGATTAAAGAGCTTCTACATACAGAAACATAAGAGATGATTAATGTAGGGCAGCTGTGGCGTAAACCTGACACTGGGTGGAGGTTTAATACATTTATTAAACACTGTACTTGTTAAAAATACAGATACGANAACATGCAGAATCACAGAGAAAACAGAAGCTCGTAGTACAAAAGGAATCAGACATGCTTCTGTTTTCCAGCTGCAGTAACAACAGTCAACAGTCACACAACACACCAGGGAGGAACCACAGCTTCGTTTCTCATCGGGCTCCGGCAGGTAACAAGATTAATGTGCCTACATGTGGAAGCGTGGACGGTGTAGGTGCTCCATCAAAGTAAATCGTTAAAATATAAGATTCATGTTATACAGTACAAATGCTTGAAAATTATTATTGATTCTGACTTGTAGCTAGAAAGAAAAAGCCTCAGTCTTGGTTTTAACCTTCAGACGTCCGACTGCCGAACAGAGACAACATTCAAACGGTAATCCGTCACATTAGCATGACTGGTCTGTGAAGAAACGAAGTGCTGCAGTCAAAAACATCTCAGAGAGACAAGATAAAACCATTCAAGCTTTAAAACAGACACACAAAAGCTCTTCTATTAGGACTTTCTATGCAATACAAATTCAGTTTAATGAACCTTCTCACACCGGAACGGTTTGATTGACTCGATTAATCTACTATTCCTGATTTGTTTAAAGGTGAACGTGGGCTTCATTCACAGCGTATACTCTTTTCATTAACTATGTCCAGAATCGAAAGATTTTTTTTCTCCCTTCAAGTAAAGAGTAAAGCAATAAAAGCTCATTTGAATATTTGGCTGCTGCTCAGAACCACTCAGGTGCTCGGTTCAGAGGAAGGCTGTTGATTCAACAAAAGCACTGATGTGGTGATGTGACAAGCTAAGTGAGCAAATTATCTTCTGTCTTGCTTCACAAATCAGATGTGCTAAAAGAAAAAGTGACAACATATGGTCGACCTCAGCAGAGTGGATAGAAATGATGACCTTTAATGGAGCTGGAAGAATAAACCTATTCTGATCCCGGCGAACACCGGGCCTCCGCTAGAGGACACATTAATGTGCCCCACTTCCATCACTTTCTAATTATATTCTAATTAAAAATCTCTCAAGATTAATATCAGCAGCACACTGAGGAATCAGTTCAAAAGTGTGGCAGCAGTAAAATTAAAAAGAATTCCATATTATTATATTTCCAATGCACCTGTTTCTGGTTCGATATTAATGCTATTATTAGAAATGCTATTTTTGTACGTTCACGGCGAGAACAGTGATATTAGATTCAAACAGGAACCGTGTTTAATCTACATCTGGAGAATTTATAAGTTGACCTTTCAGAGGAAACCACCCTGATAATATTCGCTGTCTCAGTAAAGCTGTCAGGACTTTTTATTTAATCGCATTAGGACATTAAGAAGCAGATTGATGCGTGCTGATAATTCTGATTCTCAATCATGTCTTCCCGCTGTCATTACTAATCAAGTCATGTATTCTACTGACGTGTATTAATCTTTAATTATTGTGCTCATAAACCTCCATTGAGTCATTTTAACATGACCTAGATGCAGTAAAACATCCGTTTGTTTCTTCCTGCAGACCACATAATGTCCATTACATAAACTGAGAAGAAGAAAATGTCAAACTGTCTCCGTGGAGCGTACAGGCGTGTTTCTACGTCCATTCTTCTATCTGACGATGAAACACTCTGACACTGACGTTAGCTCCGTCCAACGTACGCCTTCACCAGCCAAGGTGAGCCTCTGTACTTTACCTGATCCTGAAGAATCTTCCACATATTCAAAAGTCGCCCTATCACCCAGAGTCAAGCACAAACAGTGACACCCTCCACACTCCGCTGCAGCTCGCTTATTAAATCAAGGCCTTATCATGAGTCAGACGCACAAAGAGGGTTTCACTCTACTTCACCTGCTGACCAGACATCACGTCTCAAGTGCAAATGTTCTCACTGAATGATGTCAAATGCATCACGGTCGAACTGCTTTCACAAACAATAAAAGTCGGAAATTAAATATGTGTTGGATAAGACAAATTTAAACCACAAGTTTACATCCACTGTATAAAAAGACATAAAACCTTTTTCTCACTGTCTGACAGTAAATCAGACCAAATATTTGCTAAACACCAGAATAATGAGAGAGGGAATTTTTTTTTTTATGACTTTCTTCAAAGTCAGAAGTTTACATCCACTAAGATGCCTTCAAACTATTTGGGAAAGCCCAGATGATGATGTCATGGCTTTGGAAGCTTTTGATTGGTTAACTGACAACATCTGAGTTAATTGGAGGCACAGCTGTGGATGTATTTTCAAGCACACCTCAAACACACTGCTTCCTTTTGTGACAACATGGAAAATCTAAAGAAATCAGCCCAAGATATCAGGAGGAGAACTGTGGACCTCCACCAGTCTGGTTCGGTACATCTGGAGGAAAAAGGAGGAAGCTTGAAGCCTGAGAACACCATCCCAGCTGTGGAGCACGGGGGTGGCAGCATCATGCTGTGGAGGGACTGGTGACCTTCACACAATAGATGGCATCATGAGGAAAGAACATGATGTGGAGATACTGAAGCAACATCTCCAGACATCAGCAGGAAGTTAAAGCTTGGACACTAATGGGTCTTCAGATGGACAATGACCCTCAGCATAGCGCCAGATTAGCTACAGAGAGGCTTCAGGACAACAGAGTCAGTGTTGTGGAGTGGCCATCACAAAGCCCTGATCTCCATCCTGGAGAACATCAGTGGAGCAAGGAGACCAACAAACCTGACCCAGTTCCACCAGTTCTGTCAGGAGGAATGGGCCAGAACTCATCAGACTGTTGTGAGAAGCTTGTGGAAGAAAACCCAGAACGTTTGACCCAAGTCATAGAGTTTAAAGGCAACGCTACCCACATCACCAGTTAGCTCGTACATACTCACACCAGCCGATGAAGAGGAAGACCCACTTTCTCAGCTTGTCGGTTGAATAGGTCATTACGATGGCCGTGTGGAGGTAGCATCCTTCAACAAACATCCAGAAGAAGTTCGTCACCACAAAGTAGTTGTATATTGTCGTAATCAGTCGACACCACGGCTGGAAGAAGAACAAGACTCAGAATCATTCAGATATAATTAACATCTTAAGACAATTATTAGGACTTTGTAAACTGTAGAACACTTTACCTCGTTGCTCTCATGGATGTTGTGGTCAATCAGCTGAAGCAGAAACCACATGACGTTCCTCAGAATGAAGGTGGTGATCAGGTTCCAGTGGATGATGTTTCGTAGGCATCGTATGCTCCTAAACCAGAAGCATGCGAGAAGTTTTATTACGAGGCTTTGAACCTACAGCACATCTTGTTCAGTAATTGTTTGCTAACTCATTAGCTTTGATGTTGTTCATCAGTTCTAGAGTCATTTAAACCCAATCAGCATGTTATCAGGCTATGAGCTGTTCCTGTTTGCTCTCTACTTACAGCTGTACAGACAGTTATCACCAGATTCCCTTTAAAATCTATAAAATCTACAAAAACTTCACAAATGACAGGAACGAGGAATTTAAACTGAATCCACCTTTTTATAGCCAAACCTGAGCAGCTCACTGGACTTCTCTGAGAAACTAATCAAGCATCTCATTCAGCCACTAAAACTAATGTTTCTGTTCAGGAATGCAGGTAAATAACTATAATCTGACATCTGAGTCAAGAAATAATAATGTGCTTCATTCTTTTTTCTTTTTTTTTTGTAAAAGAGTAAATTAGAAAATTCACAGATAACAACAATAATTATATTTTATCATTAAAAATATCTTTCTGGTTAAAGATCTTCTACATACTGGTGTATGAACCATTACAGAGACATAAGAGATGATGAATGTAGGGCAGCTGGGTGGAGGTTTAATACATTTATTAAACACTGTACTTGTTAAAAATACAGATACGACGGGTCCTCATGCTTTAAAGAGCCACTAAAAAGTCTAATAACTCCATTTGTGTGAGTTTGAACACTGAGTTTTGGGTGCAGATGTTGGTCAGAATGTGTTCCAGTTGCAGATTTTTTTTGTTGAACTCCAGAGAGATTTAATCTCAAAGCAACTATTTTGGGCTTTAACCTGGAAAAAAAAAACAAAAAAAAACAAAAGCGTATTTGCTGTCAGAAGCCCACACTGATCACAGCTCAGCACACAGAGCAGCTGAGGCTGTTTGGGCTTCGTCCTGCTCAAACAGATGTAGGTGTGTGTTTATTCAAACCAGGACATGAAAGGAAGAACAACTGCCTCCAAGACACAAGTGTTGGGAAATACACAATGGGCCGCGCTGAGGCTGAGCCGAGCCGCTGAGATCTGCTCCGCTGACATGAGCGAGTTAATGATATGCAGTCTGAGGATATGACACGAATTTCACTGATTGTCTTCTGTGTGGCCTCATGAATACGGGACACTTTCAGATAGGAACTATTTCTGTACTTGCCTTAAGCACAAGAAGAGAATGAAGGCCACGACGAGAGCTCCCACGGAGATACAGTGGCCTAGGTAGTTGATGATCAGCGCTATTTTATAATGCATTGGATACTTCCTCTGCAAAGACAACACATGAGCAGCTCCTTTAGTGCCACGAGCAGGAGAACAGAGCAGACAGAAATGGACAGAAACACGTGAATAATTCAGCATCTGATGTATGTCCTCATGCTGTTTGAATGCAGCTGCTCTTCCCTCGCGTAGTTTGTATTCTAATGCATATTCAGTGAACTAATGGATCGTCACGAGTAATTACAAACTCAGGTCATGACAACATCGCTTCTGTACGACAATTAAGAGGCAGAGGCGTTCAGAGTGCTTTGACGATAAGCTCTTACTTCACCAACGCACATAATCGCTGGTCTGTAATGGAGCAATCAGTTACTAGCACATCGTACGCTTAAATCAAACTGCAAAATGTACATTTATCTCTGGCTGCAGTCGCATAATGTGAAAGATTCTTGATTTAATTTCAATTATCTCAAGCTGTTTGCAGTTTACAGAAGACGAGACAACGACTCGTTCTCCGTCTGTCGAGTCGCCGCCGTTCTGAAGTTTAGTTAAAAGAAGAGAAAGCAAATGTCATTGACATACTTGAGTTGTCTCGGCTTAAAATTATCTGAGAAAATAGAGCAAGACCCAGAAATACACATAACCAGGAGACATGATGTGGAGTAATCAGGCCAAAACTCATTACGTACAGTACATCAGTCTTACAGTTTATCCTCAGGCGTCGCTGACACAGACACAGACAGTATGTTTGTCATCAGTAAAACAAATGCTGAGTTTCATCTATAAAGAGCTGCAGTTCAAAGCAATAAAAACACATTTTCTGCTCTGAAAGGCGGTTTGTCTGTGTGGCATCGGGGTGGTGATGAGAGGCTGTGTGGAGCATCCCTGTGAGATAGTTGAGGACGCGTCCACCACACTAACCTTCTCCTCCAGAATGGGCTCACAATTGGAGTAATTGCTCTTCAGCGCCCATGTCCCGTTGTCCATGCATTCCCTGTACGCGCTCCCTGCAAGAAAGGAAGAGTTACGAGAAAGCAGAGGAGCCGCAGCATTGTTACAGACACACGATGAGTTTTAAAGATCATCTGCATTCGGCATCAGACGCTGCATCCAGCTGCGTCGCTGCCGGCGTGAGCTGCTTATTTGTTTTGGCAACGTTCTAGTGAAGTGTTTGCCAAGTAGGTACGCTAAACATCCGTGTTATTTCTTCAAAGTTGAGCGCTATCTGTCTGACGCTAACACAGAATACCAATTCAGTAATACGACTTCTTATTCATGGGAGGGAAATGCAAAGCCTCTTACTCTCTCACTTTATTTGCATATCTTTAAAAAAAAAACGCTTTTCACAACTTTGAATTTTTCATTTTGAAGTTCCTCAATGCATATTTAGCGAAACCCTTTATCTCTTTAACGCCAGAAAACGTAGAAAGAGTTGGGCGGAAACGCAGCGGCGCTAAACGGGAAAAGCTGATTTTCTTCTCCTGTATTATAAGCGACCACTTGAGGTGATCATCAGAACCGCCCCGATGCCGCTTAATTTATTTAGGGTTTTCTTCATGTTGTGAATAAAAGCTGCGGCTGG